CACTTACTCGAGCGATGCCAAGGGCAAGCAGCCGTGATGAATGGAAATCAATGGGAATCAAGGTAATTCTCCTTTTCAAAACAGTTTTTGCTTTTTCAGGGTTCCTTTGTGCTGATATTTGACTTGTTTTTTAAATGTTGTCACCTCATTTTTTAATCCCTCGTTGCTGTTTTATTTCTTCCTTCATTATTGTCTTGAAATATTGGCCCTGTGTGCTTTGCAGCTATTTTCGGAAGAGAAGTATGAGATGGCAATGAAATGCTTTGGAAGAGCTGGAGAACAAATATGGGAGAAATGGGCCAAGGCTGCTCACCTTCGAGCAGCTTCAAGCCAAATGTCTGGTTCGAATCCCAAATCTGCACGAAAAATGCTTAGAGAGGCAGCAGAGATGTTTCATTGTATTGGCAAAGCTGATTCTGCAGCTGAATGTTTTTGCGATTTGAATGAATATCAAAGTGCAGGTTTGTTATGGCTGCAAAGCCTCCATTAGCAGTGTTAAAATATTATAAATTGCATTATTAAGGTCTTGTGTATATTACAAAGGAGATACCCTATTATAGGGTTATTTGCAAATAACGTAAAAGGAAAGATTGTGTAATAATTACACAATCAACTACTAAGGAAATTAATCTTACACTAAAAGGAAAAATATAATAAATATTATTCTCAACAATATTTTTCATATCTTCAACACCCTCTCAAACTCAACATGGTAATATGGTCTAGTGACAATCATATTGAGTTTGAAAAATAAATCGATCAAATCAAATCTTCCAAATTGATGTAGATGAACTTCAAAGCATTTGAGGGGAAGCATTCAATAGAAGAACCACGGCAAGAAGAGCAGTGTGGATGTAGTAGAATAAGATAGCCAGAGAGAAGAAGAAGACAACGCCAAAGAAGAAACCGGGAGAGGAGAAATGCCAATTGAACTTGACATACCAATTCCAAAATCCAACCATGCGAAATTCCAACTTTCAGATACACTGGATCAAATAACAAATCAAATTCCAGATGATCTGGACCAACACCAAACCAAATGTCCAATCCCATGAACTGAGGATATATCAAACCAAATGCAGAGAAAAAGACGGAGTAGGAGAGAGCGAGCGAGAGAGAGAGACCAAATCATCAATCCAGATGATCACCAAACAAATTGGGAAAAGAATATCAGAGAGGAGAAGAACCAATTCTTGATTAACGAGCCAAGGAGAAAGAATCAGAAGAAGAAATGAACAGACGACGTGAAGCAACAACAGGAGAGAAGAAACGTTTGCAATTAATTACCAAATCCTTTATTGTTTTGTAGACAACCCAAATTGATAGTAATCTATCGCCAAATCATCAAGTTTCTGCCCAAATAACTAGCCCAAAAGAGAAAGAAGCCTAATAAACCAATTATCCAAACCAGGTTCAACATTAATTAATCGACCCAATAACCTATCCAATATACTAATAAAGTAGCCCAAATCGAGAACAAATATTTCAGCCCAAACAATAGCCTAAAAGAATAAATTATCAGTAGCCCAAATTTTAGCCCAAACCAACAAATCAACCCAATTACCCTGCCAAGTAAATAAATCAGCTCAATCTTTACTTTCTAGCCCAACACAATAATCCAAGCCACTTTTTTTAACCCATCTAATTGGTCCAGAACACCATATGGCCTGACAATAACAAACAACCCATATATATTAAAGTGGAAATTACATAATTCCAGGTCTTTGAAGATCACAGTTCAAAAATCAGGAACCAAATTTCATTGTTCAAAAATCATGTTTTGATATAATAATTAAATATTAAATATTCAAATTTAATACCCCAACCCTAATATTTTCATCACTCTTCATTCTCTTACTAATCTCTTCTCTCTCTCTCTCTCTCTCTCTCTCTCTAACTCCATGGCCTCCAATCACCATTCATCACCGGTCGCCACAGCAGTCAGTAAAACCTCCTCTCCGGCGCGGTCGCCTCCTTCTCTTGGACTCGCGAATGTAAGTGCCGTGGTAATTCTTCCATTGCTGTGAGTGCCGCCGCGATTTCCAGTAGTGGCGATGTTGGATGCGGTGGGTTGGGGCTCTGTGGTGGCGATGCCTGCTGCTGATTCAGGGACTACTGTTAGGGCGACCAGTGCGAATGACGGCAAATGGTGATTGGTGCCGGCGCGGGGAGTAGATTTGGGGTTTTGGGGGTGTTAATGTGTTATCTCTTTCTCTTTTTCAATCTGCAGTTAATGATTTGCCATAGTGGTGGCTGCTTGTTGTTGGCTTTTGGGTGATGGTGGTTGTGATGTTGGTTGGCGATGGTAAGGTAGCGGTGATGGTCGTGGAAGTGGCGACGGTGGTTGTGGATGGATTGGTGTGAGATATGGGTGGTGTTGGTTTGACTGTTTGGTGGTGGCGGTGATTTTGTGACTGTGGAGGTGGTGGTGGCTGTTATGGTGATTTCTGGAGGCGGTGGAGGTGGATCTGTAGTGGTGGTTGTGGTACGGTTTTGGGGTAGTGGTGATTTTGATTGTTGTGTTTTTTTGGTTGGAGTGGTGGTGGTGGTCTTGTTTTGGTTGTGTCGAGGGAATTGGATGGTTCTTGTTGGTAGTGGAATTGATGGTAGTGGTAGATTGTTTGTGTCGACAACGAGATGGTGGCCGACGACAGGGATGGCGTGAGTGTGGTGGAAAGTGGTAGTGGTGGCATAAAATATGACCTAAAATTTGATCTGTGACCAACTATTTGATCACCTGTGACCAATTCAAACTTAAAATTTGAAAATTGTGACGAAAATCATTTGTAACAGATAAACTGTGACATATGTGACTTGTAATTTGAATGATCTGTGACCTCGAAATAATATGTGACTTACAAAATTTTTGATTTGTTACGACGAAATAATTATTTGATCAATTAGTTTGTCGATATGTGACCAGTAAATAAATCTGTGACCAAAATTATGAATATGTGACTATTAATCGTGTAATTGTGACTTTATTATCTATATTTAATAAATTTTTTTAATTAATTAAATATGTACCTGATTTTTGAATTTTAAAAGTATTTACTTGATTTTTGATTAGAGGTAAACTTAAAGCCTGAAATATGAACTCTCCCCTATATTAAATTACCCAGCCCAACTAAGTTCCAACACCCAGCTCAAATCATAACTTCGTCCAAGTGCTCCAGCCCACTATCACAATCCACAGCCCAAACCAAAATACTGCAACCCAATAATCTCTTCAATACACTAAAAACAGCCCATACCTATTCACCACAACCCAAAATACTCCAGTACCCAAAACCACACTACAGCCACTGCAAATTCAACGCTACACCCATCCGTCGCCGACCACTCCTCAGCCACCGACATCTGCTATCTTCTCCATAGATCTCGTCGCCAACCACTGTCTCTTCTACTCCGACAACCACCACTCGTCACTGATTCATCGAAAATAATTCATGACCATGGCAGAAGTATTGAAAACACCATGGAAAACCTCGACAGCCGTGCGACTAGAACAACAAAAAATCCTCCTATACTCGAAACAATCAGCGTCCATTAGAATTAACCGTAATAACGAGGTCGGATCCACATGAGAATTTGCACGGATAATGGGTTATCTGACGAGGGCTTATATGCAGTGAGATGAAAATATCTGGAAAAGAATCTTGATGATGAGGGTTGATTGATTTTCTGGGGAAATGGGAGTAAGAAATATTTGCAATCAAGCAGATACCATAGAATCAAGAAATTTTTACCACCGGCCGAGTGGCATGAGGTCGCTCGCTGGATAACGGAAGCTTGCAAGTTTAACCCAAAACCACGTTAAAATATTATAAATTGTATTATTAAGGTCTTGTGTTTATCACAAAGGAGAAGACCTTATTTATAGGGCTACAAATAACTGTAAAAGGAAATAATGTAAAAGAAAAGATTGTATAATAATTTAACAATCAACTACTATGGAAATTAATGAAAAGTATAATAGATATTATTCTCAACAATATTTTCCATATCTTCAACAAGCAGCACATAAAGAAACTACACTGCGATACACACAAAAGAAAGTCTTTCATATACATTTGGGTATATCCAAATGATTTATAAATACTTGCAGCGAAGCATTCTTTTTTCTTTTTGAATTTAGTTTATACGAACAGTAATAAAACTATTCACGCGCATCAGTTAGAAGTTCAATTCTGCAAGTTGCAAAATAGAGTCCGTAAATCCTGGAAGGGTGGTAAAGTAGATGTTCTTCCCTATGAATAAATGAAAACAAAATGAATTGTGTGCCCAGACTGATTTTGTAATGTCATCATGGTTTCAAATTGTAATCTGAATAGCTTTTGCTGCAGGAATGATTTATTTGCAGAAGGGCGGGGAATTCGATCTAAGAAAAGCTGGGGAATGTTTTAGTCTAGCAGGATGCTATGAGCTTGCCGCAGAAGCTTATGCGAGGGGAAACTTGTTTGCAGAATGCCTTTCAGCGTGCTGCGAAGGGAAATGTTTCAACAATGGAATTCGATACATTGAGTACTGGAAACAGCAGTCAGCTAGTACTGATGATGTGATGGAAAGATACAAAGATTTAGACAAAATTGAGCAAATCTTTTTGGAGAGTTGTGCTAAATATTATCACAAGAATTCTCATAATGTATCCATGATGAAATATGTTCGATCTTTCCAGACAATGGAATTAAAACGAAACTTCTTGAAGTCTATGGATTGTTTTGAAGACCTTTACTTTCTGGAGGAAGATTTAGCGAACTTCATGGAGGCTCAAGAAGTCTTAAAATTGTTAGGAGATCTTAACCATGAAATTAATCGTCTCAGAAAAGGGAAATGTTTTAGAGATGCCTCTTTATTTATCCTGGCATACATACTTTCTTGCTCTTTATGGGGGTTTAAAAGCAATGGTTGGCCCCTGAAGTCATTTCCTCAAAAGGAATATCTTGAAAGTAAGGCAATATCAATTGCAGAGGAGGAGGACTCAATACATTTCAATGAATTTGTTCGTGAAGTAGTCAAAGTTTTGTCACATGAGCAAAGTAATGTGTTTGAGTTGATACAGTGTTTCAGAGCTTCAAGGAAGCACAAATGTCTCATGGGTGAATTTCTGTCCGTTAGAAAACTGCTAGATGCCCATTTTCAAGTACATCCGTCAGAGTACGAGTGGGAACAAGAATTGCCTGTTGACTTAAAAAAACATTCTGAAGAAATTTTTTTGCAGAATCAAGTCACTGCCACAACTCTCTTTTACATTTGGAATGTATTCAAGAACAACATTTTGGATGTTCTAGAATCTCTGGATTGTCTTGAACGGGAAGACTTCAGCGAATGTAAGCATACTGTTGAGTTCTGTTTGAATTATTTTGGCGTGCGCAGACTGTCAAATAATATTAATGTAACCTATCTCTTACTCAACCCCGATGCTAAATGGGTCGAAAGCATTGATGAGAGGTTTGGGCTGCAGAATGGAAAGGCAGTGACTCTTGATACTCGTTGTATTGTTTCAGCCTCTAGGACTTATTGGCGTGGAGAGTTGGTTTCTATTGGAATGAGAGCTCTGGAAGCTCTTGAAGGCCTTTATAAAACTTCTGTGGTGGAATCCTTGTCTGGGTTTTGCCAAAGCACGTGCCTCACCTGCATGTTTGACATGGTGAAGTTCTTCATTGACTCCAAATCACTTGTTGTGAAGAGTGATTTTCCCTGGGCGTTGAACAGTTTTGTGGAGCTATCTTTCAGATACTTTGAAATTGTTTTCTCTTTAGACTCACAGTCATCCTTATCAGAAAACATGATCTCTATAAGGGGAACTACACTCTCCCAGAATTTACTTGAAGAAGTTATCACTAGAAATATTAGCAGGAAAAATGAACTTACCTATGGGCAAATTGGAGAGGTTGTAATGATATGGCTCGGATCTCACATGCCAAAACCTGACCTTTATGAGATGATTGTTAAAAAATTCCCCCAAACATCATCCTGGAAAGAGTTTGTTAAGATTCTTGGTGCCAATGGGATCAAGGAGTCAGATTCATCCGGATCTCTGTTGAGCAGGTTGGATGGACTGATTCAAAAGTTCAATCAATCTCTGGAAGAGACTTATATTGCAGACTGGAGTGCAAAGGGCTATATGACACCCAATTGTTTCTTTTATCTTATGGAGCGCCTTGTTATTTTGGCATCTCAATACAGTTGTTCCTTTTTCACTACAAAATCGGCTTTTGTGGAATGGTTAATGTATCATGAATCTGGTGCCAACTCTAGTGCAAGTATGGTCACTGTCAAGCAACCTTGTCCGGAAAATGTCTTCGAGTTTCTCATTGATGTTGTCCAGCAGTTTTTATTTGATAGTCGTGATATTAAAGAATGGATTAGAAGTTGCAAAATTAATCTCAAATACAATTATCCTGTGCTGGTGTTGAGATTGTTTGTTATTTTGTGTTTGCTGTGTCTGAACTCGGGAATGCATGCCAATGTACTTTTTGAACTGCTGGATACTTCGCAAATCAGATTCCAACTGCCAAGAGAATTCTGTGAAGCTCTTCAAAGGGAAAGAAAGTACTATCACAATGAACTAAATGCAAATGCTGTTGCAGAAGCATTTAAAATTATTGGGAATCCTCTTGTCATTGTGAACTTGGGAAAAAATAATCCGGACTTTGAATGCCCAAATGCAATTTTTCTTGACATGGGAGGGTCCTCGGGCAAAAAAGACATCTTGGAAGTTTTATTTCCTAGAAGCAATGAATCTTCTCATGTACAAGTCTCTTTTGATGAAGAATTATGGCTGAATTTAGCTGACCATCATTGTGAGATTTCCTCAGTGCCACCTTTAAAAGTGGCATCAAAATTGGGTCACGAGAATGGTAATGTCAAGCTGCAAATAAACTGGGGAGTTCTTCAAGAAATATCAGATATGTTAAAATCTGGAGAAAACAGAAAAAATGAAAATTTGAAGGTAATGGAGACATTTATTATCATTTTTCAACTGTTTGAATGACTCGAGATGATTGAAAAATCACCGTCTATCTCTTCAGGCCGAAGTGGAGGGGATTAAGAGCTTAGTTGCTGAAATTAACCAGTTCTCTGAGAAGAAATCTGCAGCTGATGGAGATGAAAGCATGCTGGGGGAGGCCACCAACACAATTTTGGAACTGGAGCAGCTTTCTTCTTTGTTAGATATAAGGTTAGTTATTGATGTAGCAATTGGATTAGTAGCTGGTAACCAAAAAAATAGAATCGACCGGTCAAGTGTATATTAGAAAGCTTGACAAATCATATTTCGAATTTTGATAATAGGATTAACCTCTTGCATGTGATTGTTATATTAGGACAAGAAGTTAAATGTCTATATTTGCTTCGGATCTGTTAAGAACAAGTTCACTTCACAGGCAACTTTTCATTTTTCAGTGTGTCTTTGGCATCTCTTTATTATGTGGACTAACTATATCAAACTATTGCCCCCTTACATAATCTTGAAATAAGTCTCCTCTTTATTAAATAGAATGTCAAGTGTTAAATCTTATTCTTGATACAAACGTGGGTTTATGAATATGCAACCATGTTATATTTGCACATCTTACTAGATTACTTTTGAATAAAATCTCCAGTGGCTTGGAAGAGAAGGAAACTTTGAAGACTAGAGAACTTTTGATAAGCTTGGAGTCAAGAAGGCATAAACTAGATTTATTCTTCAGCCGTTTTGTTATGCGGGATGGTACAAATGAAAGAAATGAAAGTATAATCTCTTATGACATGGAAGTTTCCAACGATAACAGTAATGAAGAGAACACGAAGGATTTACCGAGCTCTGTTTCTTCTGGTACAGAAAGTAAACCTAACCAGGCCTGAGAATGGAATGGGAAAGGTGGAGTTTCGTTTACACTTTATTTGAATTGTACATGGTATTATTTAGCATTAATTTGAACAGCCTGACTTAAAAGCAAAAATTGAATTATTTGGGCAAGTTGACGTGGTGTACGGACTTGTATTTTTGCATGTAAGTCGGGCCAAACTTGTGCTAGTCTGAAAGTCGAGCAGAAGTGGGAAATGGAATTGGCACCTTTATTTTGAAGAATTTCATGCTTTCCTATTCCTCGTCTATGGTTTCTGTTTATTCCCTTTTTTCCCCCTGTTGATATCGATGTTGCATTTGTTTTCGGCTTCAAGAATCCATGCACATTTATTTGAGTTGGTTTGCAAGTGCCATGTACGGATGATTCAGTGCTTGATTTTCTGCCATTTTGCTATCACTGCAAAGAAAGCCCAGTATCCTCAGTCTTCATTGCTCGTATATGAGCATTGGATCCCCTGTCATCGACTATCTTTAATGATCGTTAGAGCCTTTAGCCGTTTATCTGCCCCTAACACCAATTAAGACTGGAAGTATATGAGAAATCTATTATGAGTGATTCTTTATACATTGAACACCACTTATTGTACACTAATATGTATTGAAAAAAGAATAGACATGAATGTCATCAGAACTGATATATATACCTGCAAGCAAGCTAATATCTATGTAAAGATTAAATTCTATATTTACTGGTTTGAATTCACATAAAAAACACGATAGATTTCCTAATTGGAAGAACATGTTGACTAGTGCCGTCCAAGAGGCTTGACGGGTGAGGACATGTATGTTGTGGATCACATTGTTTCACTTAAATTCATAGTTTCCACTTCTTCTTCTCCACAGCAGGAAATTCTTCTTGTGGATAAATTGAATTGTAGTGCACTTCGGCCCAGAAGCTCAAGAATATCATTCTCTTTGTCATGAGAGTTTGTGGAAGAATCTTGATATAGCACGTATCTTTAAACGATGTAATCACAAAGATCTTGACTCCATACGTGTCTGCTGCAGCCTGCAATGTGACATGATCGCCCCATTCCCTTATCTTGCTCATTTTCATCAAGTAGTCGTCATAAGCCATGGGAACATAATTTTCATACAGCTCTCCATGAGACTTCAGCTGGCAGACAATTTGTTCTCTCACAGATTTATGGTGCTCAGGAGTACGATACATTTGATCCGATAAGGAATGAAACTGACAATTACCATCCCCGGAAATTTTTACCTCAACCACATCATATAACTCCAATCTGGAGATCAGCCTTTCATGATCTGACATGGCATCGTCAGCTGAGGGAATTTCTCCATTAATTTTGATAATATGAGGTACTGGAACCATCTGATTCAGCCTGGCTCCTAATTCACCATCGAGAATGAGTTCATCTGCAATCGTGGGTAAGACTCCCGTTTCATATCCTCAGCCAATAACTCTCCAGGGTTTTTGGGAACCATTCCCTTTCCACTTCCCTCTTCGGGATAAAATTTGTCGTCCGAATCAAAATGCTTTCTCGAAGAATCCAGCCAATCCCGAGCGAGAATATTCCCTTGCTGATCTTGTTCTCCAGGGTTTGTGAATCCTGATTACTTAGCAGTTTCAGGTCTTGTTAACTCTTCCAGAAGAGCACCTGCAATTAATTCATCGTTCCCCACAATCGTTTTTGTTGTCTGTTGAATAATCGACCTCCAATTAGTGAAATTCGGGCTCAATATACCAATCTCAACCTTATCAATACACCCAAGCAATCACGACCCAAAACCTTTAAACTCTTACACACTCCGGTTGCTCAAGACTTGTACCCACTTAGGACACAAAAGGGACAGTGTTTGCAGCTATAAAGGTGGTGCCACAAAGGCTAGAGAAGAACAAGAAGAAACTGGCCAAGAAGAGCACAAAGCAAAGAGGCAGGAACTTTTTCCCTCAACAAGACAAAGCAAACACACGTTAATTGATAGAAGACCAAGAAGGCTAGCATATATAGGTTAGGTTAGGTTAAAGTGACGGGGCCAAGCCCAATACAAATACCCTAAGTGGACCAACATATATAAGTCATCCAATGAGTGTAGAAATCGGGCCATGAGCAACACTAATTAATTAGGCTGCTTCTAATGACCCAAATAGCCTTGGGGTCGGGTCATCAATCTTGGGTGTCGATATTTATTTTATTCAACATCGATTTAACATCCTCGTCCGGATTATTGGGTATCAAGTGTCACAATCATCTTCTTCCACGGACTCAATTGGAGATGCAAATAATTTCCAAAGATTATCAGGAAACGTTCCCTCTCCATGTGTTTCTTCTTGATTACGCTTGCCATCAGAATCAAAATGCTTTCTTGAAGAACCAAGCCAATCCTGAGTGAAAATAGACGCTTGCTGATGTTCTTCTTGTTAACTGAGCAATTGCTTCATCAATTCTCTACAATGAAGTCTGTTACATCAAAATTATAAACTTCTTCCACATGCTCAATTCGAGACGTTCCCTTGTCATAAGAAGTAATAGTTTTAGGAGAACCGCCATTCATCAGGATCAAGCTTGTGCATGGTTCATCAAAAGAAGCGTTCCAAGAAAAATATAACCAAAAAATTTTCTCATACAAAAATATCTCTAGAAGGCTTGTGCATTTGTTCAATGCAATTAGTGATTTGAATTAATTATTTGAAGAAAATATTCTTCCTTGTACTTTGAGTTAATGGTAGAATAATGGAGAGTGAATTATAGAGTTACTATAAAATTACATCAGATTTAATAGAATGTTAATTTAACTTTTGCATCTGATAATATGGATTTCAATCTTATTCCCTATGTTCACATTTGACGCACCGAGTTAGACTGGTAACGAAATTAGTACAATTTATAATGAAAATTACTAAGTAAAATGTATTCTGGTTAAATAAAGTGATTACGATTCTTTTATTTCTTATTCAAAAGAATGTAATTGACTATATATTTTCTTAGTTTGCATAAACTCATCTTCAACCTCCTCAATATGTCATAGGTTAATCAGAGGCGAAGTCGAAGGGGAAAAAAATTGTATTGCATTGATACATACAAAAACTAAAAAAAATTAAAATGGATTTGGAGCCTTAGGCTTCACACTTCCTCTGGCCTGCGGTTAACAACACAAATGATTATCTTTTGATTTAAAAATTAAAGAAGATATTATTCACCTTAATCCATCGTGATATCATCGTATAGTATTATCCATTATGATTTTATGCCATCTTCACGACGCTATTACATACCGTGCGCACAATCGAAGGTGACATGCACATGCATAGGTGCACACTATAGTTGGAATGTGTTAATTAAACAAAGTGAGACGATTGTTTGATTTTTATTTATTTATTTTTTTGTGTCACTTTTCTATGAAACACGAAATTCGAGAATCAATAAAAAGTCCAACTCTGCTATATGTACAAAAAATGACTATCAGAATTAATACAGATTATACTTGACAGCAATCTATCGAATAATGATAAAATAAATAAAGAAAGACAGACAAACAAAGAAATCAAATGCTGCCAAGCAGCAAGCAGCATCTGGTGAAATTTTGGCAGCAATTCCTCATATAGAGGTAGAGGAATTGCTGTGAAAAGTCCAACAAAAATTGTCCTTCCAAACATGGTCAAGCCAAGAAATTTAAAGGATTAGCAATTCCTTGTTTGATTCCGCCCCCCCCCCCCCCCCCCCCTTTTTTTTTTTTA